TGCTATTGAAGTTGGCAAGAGTTGTTGGGTTCAATCTGGGCTCATTTAAAACCAGTTTCCATAAATGAAGGTCCTGCAGAGAAGTCTCAGACTCCAAGGGCATGCCAGCCTCTTCCTTGCTGTTTGGTTCTTCAAGACTAAATGACACAAGACCTGTAGTCCTGGTGACATGTGTGACAAGAATTTTACTTAAGAATGATGGATTTACAGATTGAATTCCTGGTATCCCAGTTCTCTTTTCTGCAAAGCTTCTTTTATCTTTTTGCCAAATAGCTATCCCTGGGTGAGATCTTTCAAACAGGGAGCCTTTTCCTGAGCTAGAGCACTCTCTGTACCATTTTCCCATGCTCCATTTTCTAGATTATGTGATCCAGAATGAATGCAAAGTTGATGGGCATAGGCCACAAAACTAGCATATGTTTCTGATATTCTATTGCCCTGTTGTAGACACAGGCAAAAGAAAGACAGCTCTCCTGTTGACATGTTCAATCAGCAGAGGTTTGGGTCAAAGAATGCGTAACATCGTGGCCAAGATATTTCTTCACACTGTGCAGTCTGGGAACATCTTTTCTTCAGGCTGAATGCTTTGAAATCTCTAACCAGTTTAATGTCCTTTTTACCACTAGACTTAAGAGCTGCTACAGCAGCTTGTCCTCAGCAAAAATTAGCAGCTTGAAGGCACCATGCTATTCCTGTAGCTGACTGGAGGTTGGTTATGCTGAACCGGATCATTAGTGTTCTTCTAGCAAGTACTAGTTCTGGCCTCCATTGTCATTGAAAGAAGTGTCCTGGGAGTGTTTTGTTTCAGAAAAGACACCCCCAACCTAGTCACCAGCATGGGATGGCATAAATACTACCCTTTGGTCTCTGTTTCCCAGGACTTCCCTCTGCACAAGGGAACCCCCAGGAATCCTGTTAAAATGGTTCAGTAGCTGTTTGATATCTTCAGGCAGATGATATGCCATTCAACCCTATAGTCATGGATTATAATACTGCAGGTTACAGATTGAAGACCACAGTGATTTGTAGCAAGCCAACTTTATGACAGGCAGTGGTCTTATCACAGTAGCATGGCAACCCCCATGAAATCATTTCCTCCAGAAGTGGTGAAAAGAGGCCACACTGTATTTGGTAACACTGTGCCTAAACTGAGCTCGCTCCCCTCTCAGGCTGTTCTGGAGCTAGCACAGCATATCTCCATGCTGATCTGCAGTTTGCAGAATTCGAAGCTGAAGGAGATGGATGACTGCAATAATCAAGTGTGAATCTACTCTTACCTAACACTACTGGGGTAATAGGCCCAGTAAAATTTTTCAACCCAAGGCCAAAAAAATTATCTCTCTCTTTTCCTTTCCCTCCCTCCTTTATTGACTTCATAGAAATTGCCTCCAGCAATTCCACATACATTAGAGAAGGAACACAACAGGCCGTGCATTGCTTGAGCATTATGACACTCCAGGTGTACATGCTCAGACATGGGCAGCTGAAAAGAGGATGACAGGCATGAGTACAATAAGACTGCCAGAAATTACACTGCTCGTGATTAGTGTGAATCCCTATTGTGAGGCAAAAATGATGCAAAATAGAGAGACAATAGAGAATAGGGAGAGCTGGTGTATGAACAGAGTTTTATTTGCCATTACTGATTCTGGGCTGATGTGATGAAGAAAGTCAGTGGACCAGCTAATCAAAATTCAGAGGACAACAGAAAAAATCCTTAATAATAATCCTAATTAAAAATCCATTTATTTCGCTTGTCAAGTAGTAAACTAAAAATTTGATCTGCCTGACAAATTATTCTGTAGTCTGAAAACTGAAGTTTTTGTACTGAATGCAAGGCAAAATCAGCTCTCAGCTACAATGGTGTAAATTCCAAAACACCTCTTGAAGAATGAGACCATGTACTTCTGGTTTATATTAATGCAAATTTGACCCCAGGCAAAATGCCAGCTCTTCAATAGTTTTGAAGAGCAGTTGTCCATAAAAAAAGTTGCCATTGGAATTCAAAGCAATTTGACAAAATTATATGCCATTCACTGACCTCTTTACATGATTTAAGGTGAAATTGCACCACTATAGAAAGTAAGATCTGTTCTTAATGGATGTCAAGAACCGTCCATTGTCTCCCAGCAAATGGAACAGATGGTTTCTGCTTTAAAATCAGTGCTTCTCTGACAAAGTCAATGGGTAAATCTCTGTTTGTGGCAGCTGAGAGCCTGGATAGATTGCATGTCTATGTCATGCTGGCTCTCTTTGAACACAGATGTACTGGATGCTATTGCTGATCACCTGCATGTGTAGTACCAATTATATTTTATATACGTCTGTGTTCCTAGCATTCAAAAAGAGCACTGAAGTTTTTTTTCACATTTGCAAAATAAAGTCACAGACCAAACCTAGTCCCTGTTCCATTTCTTGCCTTAGACCCCTTTCAAGGGCTCTGGGTAAGAGGCAGCCTATAAAGTACTTCTGCTGGATCATGATTTTTTTAGTTTGGATTAATCTGTTAGACTATATATATATATATATATATATATATATAAATATGTGTTTTAGTTTCATCTTATTCTGTGTGGTCATCTCAGCTATGCTGTGTAAAGAGGGTAACCTTTCCACTTTTCCTTGGCTCTTCCACTGTCCAGTGAGCAAATCTGAAAAAGATCCCTTAACTTCCTTGCACTTGGGCTTCTTTTCTCAGGTATTTCTAGACTAAAGAGGTTCTGAGATGCTTATGATGTTAATCCCTGTTGATGCATCTTTCATTCAGTACCAGATAATGTGATTGTGATTTAAGTTTGGACTTTAAGTGTGACATTCATGGTGAGAGACAGTAGCTCCTTGCCCTCACTATGCAATGAGGGTTGGGAGCTCTGCAATATGATTGGAGGCAGCTGAATCAGAACCTATATTATAACACTGAATAATTTAGCAGTTTTTGCTGACCTTGATCTCTTCACAAATTCCCCTCTAATGTCCATGACTATGTGTGAGAAAGTAAATGCCTTTTATCCTTTTTTTATTATTATTATTTTTACTTTAAAAGCTCTCCTGATCCAGTAGACCTCTCAATCAGCTAAAAAGCCTTCATCCTAGTAGTTCATTCTCACTTTTCCTCTCAATTTTGGAAGATTTTTTTTCTATCCTACAAATCTCAGATCTCAGTGCTCATCTGGGATATACTGGATTTTGTAATAATGTTTTAAAAGTACAGCTCTTAGGAGCCAAACATCTTGGTAAGGGAAAAGGAGCAGGGATGATCTTAACTAGACTAGAGATCCTATCTGGAAGGATTATCAACTTCACTGTGAGGTGTGTAGAGGTGGAGAAATTCCTTCCCTGCAGGAAATTTATACCTTGGTTTAAGCTCTTTATAGGTTTTATAGTAGCTTGCAGAACAACAGAACTGACTTTACTAAGGGAGGACTTGGAAAGCTGAAGGGAGTGAGTATGTCCACTCTATGTACTGAAGAACTGTCCCATGTCTTCTCTCACTAACTCTACATCTGCAAGCCATCTTGCAGCACTGATATGGCTGAACACAGGAGCCAACAGGGCTGTTCACTCCCCTCATTTAACAGCCAGACTGCTTCTGGGGTCAGAGGTTCCTCTGAATGACATTCCAGTGCACAATACAACTGCAGCAGCTTGTGCGGGCGTGCCATGGGCTTCTCTGACATGGCCCTGCATCACCGTGGGCACACAAGTGTCTCCTCTGTGAATACTGAACCTCATCCTGGGGCTAAAACAGTGCAGGCACATCCTACAGGGACGAACAGGAACTCAGTGCCTGCCATCCAGCACAGGTAACAGCTACAGTTTGTAGCTTTCTCCAAAATCTAGCGATACTTGAAATAGTTTCAACTTGTGCTAGCACAGACACTGAAATGGCAGGAGGAAGGGCAGGGTGTTTTATGATGAGTTTCAGAACAGGGAATAAATGCAGGACTCTTTCCCCAGGGCTGTGGTACTGTCAGCATTCATTTTCTCTTTGGAGACAGTAATAAAGTAGCTCCAGAAGAGATTTTAAACTCTATGGTATCACTGTTGTTCCATGTATTTTGGTTGCTGATGCATAAAAAGAGTTCAAAAATTTCAGAATTGTATTTTTCTCCCTGCTACTTAATTCCCAGAAAAGTATACTTGAAAAGATTCTATCAGAATAGATTTTTTTCCTTTTAGATTATTATATATATATATATATATACACATATGATATATAGCCCCACGTGTGTGTGTGTATATATATATATATATATATATATGTATATATATATTACCTGAGTCATTTGTTAAAGGACTAAAATTCATACTGGATTCTTTGTTTTCTTGTGTGCTTCGATTTGTTATGGTACTGTTATTTATCAGAAGTCACAATGGTTTTTTTGATACAAAGATTGAATGAGATGTTTGGCATCCATTTGTATAATAATTACATTTATTCCTTCAAATATGTCAGCAAAAGTAAAAATACTTTTTATTGCATGTAAATGATAATGTGAGTATCGTGGGCCTTTAAATGTCTGAAATTAAGCTATAATTCTCACAATTGTCACTGTCTTCTGCATTGTCTGGATGAAAAGAAATGGTAAAATCCAGCAATATTAGTTTAATAGAGCAGTACAAGCCCTGCATGCCCTCTGCTGGAAGTGATCCCTTGCAGGATAATGTAGATCAGCTTCTGTGGCAGTGCTCAATGTCTGACCTGCAGACAGACACACTTGCTTTTATATAGTTAGTTACTCATTAAGTTTCTCCATAGCAGAGTTTGTTAGCCTGCTAGCCTTTCCTAGTAGGAAGTAAAACTCCTCCAGTGCATTATTTTCTTCACAATTTTCATTACATTTTGAACTCTTTCAGTTCTCCTCAACATCTTTCTTGACTTATTAACCTTGTTGGTCCATTGCAATAAAAAGAAAATGAGTTATATATTGAACAAAGTTATTGAATGATATCTCATTACTGACACAGGTTTATACATGCAATTTTATTGTGCTTTTTAGGAAGTTTACAGGTTCGATACAAGCTGAGTAAAGACGGGCTTCTCATTTTCACCATTGACTCCGGAAATTTTGCCAACCGAGAGCTGCACCACGTGAAGATTAACAGAGAAGGCAGAGAGCTCATCATTCAGGTATGCCACAGCTTATGTTGAGTGTTAAATAATACTTGGTGCCACAAACATGGGAACAGTTTGCTCAGAGAAATTGTGGCATCCCTGAAAGTGTTCGAGGCCAGGTTGGATGGGGCTCTGAGCAACCTGGTCTAGTAAGAGGTATCCCTGTCCACAGCAAGATGATCTTTAAGGTCCCTTCCAACCCAAGCCATTTTATGATTCTGTGAGTCAGATCCACTGATTTCAATGCCTGATCACCAGCAGGAGGCAAAGGTTTCACACCGATCTGGTGCAACCAAAGCTGATCCACACCAGAGCAGCCCTGTAGCTTAGAGCAAAGCTCCATCCAGACCCTGCTTCATAGAATGCCCAACAGTGGTGTTTTCTGTTGAGGAATCCTTCCCTTGTTTCTGACAATCTGAGAATTAGGAAACACATTTGCCCAGATGTTCATCTAGAGCATTGGGCTGGTTCTGGGGCCTAGTGATGTCTGTGTGATCTGTAGTCTTCAAGGAAAAACACAGTATGGGTCATTAATAAGCTGTGAAAGGGAGAAAAACAACTGAGGGATGAGCACTTGGGAATGTAATTACATTTAGGGTATGTGTCACAAGGGAGAATGTGTCCCCAGCTGCTTCATCCTCTCAAAGAAAAGGAAAAGCTGCCTTAATACAGAGTCAAGTCACGATGTGCATGACAATGCCCCGTCCTAGAGCTAGGAGCAAGCCATGCTGAATGTGACAATCATATGAGAGACAAGAACCCTCCTCTGCTTTGTTTCCCTGCATCACCTGTTTTTCCAAGGCAGGGAGAAGAGGATCATCTTTCTGCTCTTTCTGCTTTCTTTCTAAGTCTAATTATAACAGTTCATATTGCAAAAAGGCTGGATCTGGGTCACAGTCATTTAGCAGGGAAGGGTGGCAGAGTCCATAGAGAAGTTGTGTCTTAAGGAATAAAATGAGAAGAAGACAGAAACACACAGTGCCACAATTTTTCTTTCCTCTCCAGTTTCCATGTCTGGGTGGTAAAATGATCACACAAGGCTCAACTATGGGCTGTGGGTAGGCCTGATTATCTAAGAAGGAAGGTTATGTTAAAAGCCAGGGTTTTCCTCAAGTTCCAGTCTTCTATTGTGTGCTGCTCTGTGGTTTTCTTTTGTGCAGAATTAATTCTTCACAATACATTTCTAGAAAGGTGTCCTTTAAGTGTATTCTGAAGTGACTGGTGACTAGACATGGATTTTGGGAAGAAGGGGGGTTTCAGTGTCAAATATTTTAAGCTTTTCAGCAGGGGAAGTTTCTTCAAAGCCCTTTATATGACTATTCTGGTGCACCTTTCAGCTTCTCATGCTAAAATCAAAGCACATTCACTTTGCTATCTCTAGAAAGTGAATCACCTCTGGGGGCAGAATTAACTGATTTGCTGCTGAGAGTGTTCCCAGAAGTTTGCAGTGCAGTGCGATCTAGGAGTGTCTACATGGTGTTGTAATGAAGTAATTTTATTGACCTCTTCCAGGTTGATCAAGTTCTCAAACTCAAACACAACTTTTCTGAGATTGATTTTAAGGCCATTAAATCACTCACCTTGGGCAAGGTCACAGGTAGGTTCTACCAAAAATATTCCTGATTCATCAGTTGTTATAGTGCTGCATGTTGGGTTTTTGATAGGATTGGAGTTTTGTTTGGATGTTTTTGCTGTAAGAGTTGGCCTGAAAATTCCAGTACTCCTATTTATATATCTCATCAATGCAAAAATTTGGCAGCTTTACCTGTTTGCACTGATAGCAATATTAACTTCTCCCATTGCTCCCTTCAGTAAAGTAATTCATAGTACCTGTGTGGCTGCATAGGGTGGCATCTTAACCTAATGATATTATTTTGCTGACTGCAGCTTTCTCTTCTTCAGCTATTTCTGTTTCCTAATGATAAGAACAGCACAGTGAGCCTTCATCCTCTCTACCCTTTTTTCACTCCCATTTGAATTCTGCAAGGAATATTACTTATAGCACTGAAGCCACAGCTCTGCATGTTCTGTGCATGGAGTTACTTGATCTTTACTCCTCCACATTACAAAGTCATTACAAGACCAGGAAAATTCTGCCTAAAATTTGGAAAACAGAACTCTTTAGTTTTGTTGTCATGTATGTCTTGACAACCTTGTTTTGTGTGTCTTATTCTTTTCCAATGAGATTCTAAGTTCTTCCTTGGTTATGTCTATACATTTCAGTCCTGTGTTCAAGTTGGACCTCCATATCAAGCCTGACATCTATATCACTATTGCAATTTTATATGTTTCATTATTAGCACGCAAATCCTGTGGGACTGGCAGCCACACAGAAACTACAGACATCCTCTAGTGTCTGGTTGTGCAATACAATTTTATGTGATAACAATAGTCTGTTCTGCATCGTGTTTTATTAAGTAAATTAAGAACATGAACTGATTTGCCCCTTACTTATATTTAATGTTTGTTCAGAATGCAGTCATCCTCCAAGCCTTTGTGGACAGGTTTGGGGATCTGACACTTTTCAGCCCAAGTCAGAGACAAGCTAAAATTCCCATTTTGTCAACAGTCAGCTGTAGTGCTGAAAATCTGCAAGAATATTGCTCATTGCAACCTCTACCTAGAGCTTCGGCTATAGACACCGAATCAGTAAACCAAGGCTTTTCTAACCAGCAAGACAGAATGTAGCACAAAGACCTTCAGAAATGTAGCCAGTAAGCTGGCATGGTGCAGCTCAGCATTATGGAGTGAAACTAGATTTAGTCACAAAAATATGATTAACTTCACAAGTACAAGTTGTTGTAAAGCCAAAAAGCCCAGATGTATCTCAGAGGTCTGGCATTCAGTTTTACTGAACACCACGAACTTCTTTGATTTCTCTCTTGCCCTGAAGTTTATTGGGATTTTATTTTAGTAATAGCAATAGTTCATATTCTGTAATGACACTAAAGCTATGAACTTGGCAATCCGGATGGTGCCAGGTCTTATTGCTGTACTGGGAGTCACACAGTGCATCCCAAGTCACTTTAATTCCTGCCTAATCCGAATTCCGATTTCTTCTTCATATGTTAAGTGAATTTCCACATATTTTTCTTCTATATTAGGATTTAATTTTTCAGGTTTTATCCAAAAAAACCCTAAAACAAACCAGAAATTCCTACTACTATAGTGTCAAGTGTTTTGCCTTGTTGTATCAAGAGGAGAGCTGAACATTGTCAATTTGACAATGTAGAACTTACATAAATATGTTAAATCATCATTTATACTATTATATGGGATTATAACTTCTTTTATGATGGCTCATCAGGTGAATACTAGTGACTTAAACTAATGTCTTTCAAGTTCTTCCTTGTCATTATTCATGTCCTCAGCAAAGCATAAACTTCCAGAGGCATGTGATGCTTTGACATAGACCTAGACTTCCCTATAGTGTTTGTTTTGGATGCCACTGAGATTATGCACCTAAAGGCATTCATAGGGAACATTTGAGTGTTCACTGAAAAAGAACCATATAAAGAAACCTCTGTTCTGTGTGTCCTACATATCCATGCTATAATCTTCTGAAAATTTGTCTCTCTTCTTTCCTGTCACGCTGCTGCTCATTTGTCTGCTCTAACAGCCTGATCCTGGCTGCTTAACCAGATGATTATACCACCTTCTTTCTTGACTCCACCATTTATTTCCCACTGACTGAGAAATCTCAAAGAGGTCTTCCAGCAGGACATCATAAAAGCTTGAAACTTCTTCCTCACCAGATTTTCCAGTTTTAGCACAGCTGGAACCTTTGAAAAGTGCACTTTTATACAATGACCAGGTTTTTTTAAATAATGGTGTTTCTCCTGCTTCTAGTCCCCCCACCCCAGCACCGTTAAACTTTTTTTAGTAAAAAGGTATTTGCAGTATAATAATTTTTTCTTCTTTTCAAACCTTCTGTATTTTTTTCCAATGGTTACCCTACATCTAGTTCTGAATTCTGGGCAAAAAACCTCTGCTTAAGGTAGAGGAGTCTCACCTGAAATTCAAAACATAGGGACACTCACTCTGCCACAGACTACTTGACTGACCTTGGGCAAGCCATTTATGTGCAGATATAAAGGTAAGCAGGCATTTTATTCCCACTGGAACCAGTCTGAGTTTTACTATCTCCCTTCTCCATCAGTAAAGCATAGATAATAGAACATCTCTGCATCAGAGGGGTACTGGGAGGATAAAAGCATTAAAGGCTGTGAGCTCTTCAGATCCACAGTAATGGGACCATATAGCTGCCTTAGAAAGATCAATCTAAATATAAATGTGGCTTTGAAGACAAGGGAGTAAAAAGAAGCATCATTCAAGTAGCTAACAGATGTTTGTTGAATTCATCCTCACAGTATCCAACAGCAATAGAAAAGTATTATTATCCTGTAGTTTGTTGTCATTTTTACTCCACAAATACAGAGGCAGGGTACAAAAGGACCTATCCAAAGCTCATCAGTATCAATGGGAGATTTTCCGTGGGCTTTAGTGAGTACTGGATTCAATTCCAAGAGGGTCATAGAGTTTATGGCAAAGCCTCAGTGAAATCTTAACCAGAGTCCCAGTTCATTTACTTTAAGTACTCCTTGCAGAGATCATACTGCTGTATTTAACCACATGAACAATCTGACCTAACTGTGACGCTGGCTCTGCTTTGAACAAGGGATTTAACTGCATGACCTTCAGAGGTGTCTTTCAACTTAAATTATTCTGTAATTTTCTGATGTCAGAGACACATTTGCATATTTTAGGTCTTCTATACAAAAAGCTGATATCGCAGTGGAAAATATAATTTATTTGTTTGGGGGTTTACCTTAATGAATCCTTGAAGACTTTGTACTGTGCCCCAACATGTCTAGATTTTTCACCAATATAGTGAAATGGTAAAAAATAATCCCCGATGCAGAGAAGTGAGTCTCATTGCATATTTACTTCTGAGTAATTTAATATTGTAGCTGTGTAGGGATACCAGAGTAAAAGGGTAGCACTGAAAGCATTCAAGAGGATTCTGAAGAAAAAGATTGCAAGTATTTCTTTAGCACCTTTTAATGTCGACCTGACTTATGTCTGTCTTCAAAGTGATCAATTAGCATTAAGGATTGTGTATTTTAGCGCAGGAACATGATGTCTTTTATCTCTAAAAGCCTGAGCTTAAAACTAAAGTTGTAAAATTCTTTCCACTGAGTCATTCAGCTATGATATAAAGTATATGCAGAAGAAAGTTTATCTGGAAAGTAATTTTATTAAAATCATTATGTAGGTGCAGTACAATTCTTATGATTTCTACAATAGCTTTTCTTATTAAAAGTTCACGAGGAGAAAAACGAATCTATACACTGAAGAGATCTCAGAACAATTCACCCAAGAATGATATTATGGGGGGAGATGATAATGGGATCATTAAATCACAAGGGGTAAGTTGTCATTAACTCTGAAATACAAAAGCTGTCTTAAAGTACCTCCTTTTAGAGAGTTTCTGTGAAAAATGTTGAAGTCCATTTTTTTGATGGAAAGACATTCCCTTTTTTAAGCTTACAAAATCATAATTTGTTTGATAATTTTAAAGTCACAGTCTCAGAATATTGTGCTGTAGCAGTTTAAACAATACAGCAATGTCTGCAAGAGGTATTGGCTGGACTCCTATGATCACTGCAAGACTCATTTCTTTAATTCAGAGTCTTCTTGCCCTAAATACCTATTTCTTAGACAGACCATATTGTGCAAAAAGGTCTCTTGGGTGTAGTTATTGGTTTTCCTCCTAGTAGCTTAGTAAAGCTTTAAGGAAAATGGAAATTACTACATAGAATAAAAGAGGAGAGGCATTTGTTACCAAGATGGCAACAGTTAAAATAAACGAAGTTTAGCTATCCAAGGCACTTCAAGCAATCCCAGGTCTAAGCCAGTAATGCCATCATGTCTCTATCAAAAAGAGACCAAACCTATTCCAACTTTTCCTCCGTCAATATAATTTACCATATGATCACACTATACTTAAACACCTCTTTTCTTGATGATAATGCCATCTAAATAAGTGTCCAAGGCCATCTACTTCTATCCAGAAATTTTATTTTTAGTCTGAATTCTTGCTACTTTAGTTGATTTTAGCTGTCTGATCCTGGGAAAAGCATGTATTCTTTTGCACATCCTCTCTCCATCTTCTTGCATATTTTCTTCTTTTTATAAATTATATTTTCAGCCCATGCAGAATCACACAGGACTGGTTGTGTTGCAACAGATTAGGATTCAAACATCAAAAACTGTGACATGTAACAAATTTCACATTACACATTATGTGAGGTAACTACAAAGTACTCACTAGAACTCTTCTGAGACAGGTGCAGTGTGTGGAGATTACAAGGGTCTTTTACTTCAAGGTCATGAGTTCAAATCTGGTACTAATGTCCAAAAAATAATCTTGCCAGTGCTGTTCAGCACCTTGGCAAAATGAGGTGACGGATACATTTCAACTCCCCTAAAAATCATATTTCTATTTCTCAGCCTCAAAATAAAGGACAACCAGCGCTTCAGCATACAGAGTAAATTCCCCTTTGTGCTTCTACCTGCAGTCTACATAGATTAATTAATTAATTAGGGCATAGACTTTTAAAACAGACTATGTCTGCTTTCACTGATGTTAAAAATAAATTTCAATTAAGAAAATCCATTATGGTCCTTCCTGGCTGTAAGTGAGCACACAAGTAAACGCTGGGCTCAGATTTAAGTTTCTGAGTGACATGAAATAATTTTTATAAAGAAAGAACTAAAATATATTTAATGTTTATGGTCTTCTTTTACACAATGACTCCTTTAGAAAGAAGGTCTTCTAGACACTGTCCTTGCATACAAATAGTACTTCTCTTTGATTCCAGTTACCTGTCATACTGGCTATCATTTACTGTGTCAATTTGTTGATATATTGCTGAATAGATTAATGCTTGCTCCTAGAGAAATTTGGTGGAATTCTATTCATGATGAAAATTAATTCCCCATTACCTAGATATGAAGACTTAAGATTGTTTTATTAAAGATCACAAGTGTGATGTATATGGCAGAGGTGCACAATGAAGCAGCAGTGGAACAGGATATCTGTTTTTGTAAATAGGAATAAATCAGCACATAAATTACATTGATACAATTAATGAAGTTTAAAAAAATACAACTACATGTTAGAATTAGTCCTCATTATCATGGAAAGCCATTGCAAAAACATGGAAAACCAACACAAAGCTTGCTGAGCTGTGATATTGCAGACAGCTTCCAGGGATCAGCTAGAGGACCCAACAAGAAGCCAGGACAACCTATGCACAACTCAGCACACAAAGCTAAAAAAATTACTTCCTAAAAATATGGGTAAGCTTAATTTGTGGAGAATGAACAGTTAAATTACTAGAAACTAAAAAAGATTACCTTCTTACTCTTCATGGAGAAATTAGCCAAAGTAACTCATTCACTAATACCGAGAACAGCAATGCAATGCTAAAATGTCAGAAGATCAAACCAAGCCATCAGCAGCAATTCAGTGTGATTTTCCAAGCTAGTGAAATGCATGGAAAGATCACAGCATTACCAGGTCAGAGGAAGGCCACAGAAGTTTGATATGACCTTGCTGCAACACAGACCTTGGAACTTTACTTAGTTGCTTCTCTTACGGAGTGCTGTGTCATGTACTGAAAATACCTTTTGGAAAAACATTTTATTGTGATGTAAAGACTCCAAGGGACAGAGTGGCCTTTAATAAGCCTTTCATAGAGGGAATCATGTCACAATCACAGATTTACATTATCCTCTCAAGAATTCAGAGGGCAGCACAAGTCGTTCACATCCAAGTTGTGCAGCTTTCTTGTTGAGAACAGTGAAAGCCTCCCTTTCTGACAGACATTACACACACACCTAAAGCTGTATAATAAAGCAAACAGATTCTGTGCATGTGGGATTTTTACCAGAGGACTCTGGGGTTGGTTTTGGTTTGTTCTTTGATTTTATTTTTTTTTTTCAAATTTCAAAGTCTTTCAACAATAAACTCCTAGTTCTCATTCATGTAAAGCTTACTTTAACAAAAGACTTCTGGAATTGGTTCTTAAAGTAACTTTTAAAAATACCATCAAAAGTGTTGAATCTTAGACTTTTCAAACTACTGTAGCATGAAAAAAGAAATCATTATTTCTTAGGCTTTACCTTTGCACATTTGGGCAGAACAGAGCAACTAAGATTGCCTGATGTAGAAAAGATACCAACAAATTCACCTTTTGTGTCAGAGCTAAGAAAACAATAAAGGCTGAGAGTAGGAATGCTTACAAAGGGTTTTATAAATTCAACAAAGACGGCAAATACTGTAAATCAGTCTTTTAGTATATATAAACCTTCTTACAGGGACTTGGAAAAATTCTTTGTCTGTTTTATAACATCTCAGCCAAAATCTCATTAAAAACGTGAATGCAGTCAATTCATACACACTTTTAAGTACAGCAAATGTGAACCTCTGTAAGACTACAGTCTTTCCAGTGGCAAAGCCTCACTGTTTGCCTTTCCATTTCTCTCAGAGCCCAGAGGCTGTTCCCGTGACAGGTCTGCAGACTGAGAATCTCTCCTGTAAGACTTCTGGGAGAGCAAGCTCATACTGTACCTTGCTTTGCTGAGAAACAGCCAGACTCTTCCATGTTATACTCCCATGAAGACATTAAAACATAATTATAAAACTTTCTTGGATAATTGCCTCTAACTGTTTGGCATAACAGTCACAGATCTTGAGCACAAAAATAATGTGTGATTTCGGCTAGTTTTGAGATTTCTCTGTATTTTCTTATATATAAAAGAAATTTATGTAATTAAGGTAGGAATGTCAGATTTAAGAGAAGGTCTACTTTTTTTGCCTAAATCCCGAGAGCTTGTAAAATCATTGTATTGGAATGATAATGGAAAAATTGGACCTTATTTTAAAATTTAGCATCTTGTTCTTTCAAAATTTAAAAACAAAATTGAAAAGCTAGGAATCCTTATTTTCCAATGTCCTTGGAAGTATTTCCAAAGTTTTCAATGCTAGAAGTTGTTTTGTTTTGGTTTTTTTTAGCAGGTATTTTTAAGACAGAATAAATTTTGATACTGCGTATGTGTGCGTTTTAGGTTTTTCTCTTGTTTGATTGACTTAGATATAAAGCACATCTTGTTTGAGACCTCTGAGCAGTATGAATTTCGCTTTCTGGAAAGTAAATAAATGAGAGTTTGGGGAAAATAGAAGATGGCCTCACTGTCCTTCCCTGACTTTCCCAAACAATCTTTGATATTAAAACTAAATTCTTGACTGTGAAAGTGGTGAGTCACTGGAACAGGTTGCCCAGAAAAGTTGTGGATTCCCCATCCATGGAAGTGTTCAAGTTCAGGTTGCATAGGGCTCTGAGCAACCAGGTCAAGTGAGAACCAGGACACGAGAAGTGTCCCTGTCCATGGCAGGGGGGGTGGAATCAGATGATCTTTAAGCTTCCTTCTGACCCAAACCATTCTATGATTCTAGGATTAAATAAAAACTTCTGGCCTTTGATTGGTTTTCTTTTTGTGAAATTTAAATGGACACATACCAACAGAGAAGCTAATTGTGCTATCTCATCTTCAGGCTGGAAAATAACACAGAGACATTTGTTTTGGTTTTGACTTACATAAGAAGAGGTATAGTTTTGCTCTGTATTTTGTTAGTGAAATGGGGCTGGCAGAGTGAGAACCTGACCCATAGCTAGGAGTATTCCTGGGAATTCTGATTACAAAACAGTAGTAACATGATAGGGGCACCAGAAAATTTCAATAATAAACCCTTGGAAAAGGATGGGAACCTGTTTTAGCAAGCCTTTCAGTATTAAGTCACATGAAGCATTGTATGACAGACAACAGAGAACAGAGTCCTTCATTTGAAGAGTGGAGGAGGCAGAATGCCTTGAAGATACAGTCAATAGTTGTGAAACTGATGTTGTTAACAGATGTAAAAAAAGTTAAAGAGCATCATCCCCTGAATCCTGTGGTATTTGGTGTTGTTCTTTTATTGTTTATTATTACAGTTATTGTCATGGTTAGAAGCTGTGGTGTGGTAGATGTTGTCCAGACAGTAAGGAAAATGGATGAGGAAAGAAGTGCAATGCAGGCTTTTATGTCCAAGCCAACTTAATTCAATGTAAGTAGCATTGTAGAGGAAGGACTGGGGTTGGGAACCTCATTGGTTAGGACAGGGAGAACTTATAGGCTGCTGAAGGAGAAACTGAACAGTTAATACTGGGTAAAAGAAGTAAAATTGGTGATAAGGTAAAAAAGGATTCATTTTCTTAATGCCTTCCTAAAATAGTTAATTCCCAGTGTGTTTTTCTGTTGTACTGCAGATAGTTTGTCACTGGACCCTGAAGTCTCAAAGGCAAATGCCTATGGTTTCACTGGCTGCTTGTCCTCTGTTCAGTACAACCACATTGCTCCCCTGAAAGCTGCCTTACGCCATCCCAGCATTGCTCCTGTGACTGTCAAAGGTTCCTTGACTGAATCCAGCTGTGCATCCATAATGGATGCTGATGTGAACACAGCAACAACAATATATTCTTCATCAGGTATGTCCTGCTGAGAGGGGAATGGGGAGTTTAAATGATGCTGTAGAGTCAGATTTCCTTCCTTTTTGCTGTAATGCAATTGTGACAGTATAAATATTGGAACTGGAAAGTTGCCTTTTCTCTCAGAATCAGGGGTGTTGAGAATGGGCACCAGGATAAGTCAAGGCTGCTTTAAAAGTCGTTGTTCTTCTTCTAAGTTCCTGGATTGCCTAAAACATGCCTAGAACAAACAAAAATGTCCCAAAGCCCTAGTGAAAACAGCATTGGAATATCCTTATGCACATGATTTGCCATTCCTGTCCACTCCAGATAACTCCAGTGCTGCAGATCTCAAAAGGGGAACATAAATGTTACACATATTCCATATCCTAGTGGTGATGAAGCAATAGAAGTCATAGAACAAACAAGGCAAATTTGTTCCCACCCTGTCAGAAATGAACAAAAACTCTTGTAAAAATCCCTTGACACATGTGTGTGACTTCCATTGAATGCTTGTACTTCATTCTCTCAGGCTAAAGAGAAAGAGCAGTACTTGAGCAGTACCAGTAAAATAATCCCAATAGTTTGTATATCTTTTGCAATCTTGAAACTGTCCTCTGGGAATCTTAAGTATATTGCATATGCAAATTTGTATGCAGAGAAGGAATGGAGAGCAGCTGGAAGTGTTGTCACCATGAACAGGAACAATCAAGTTACTGCTTTATTCACCAGTGGATGTGGCAGAATTCTTAATGACCAGAAAGGGGTACAAATTAAGGGTAGCTTTTTGCACCTTGACCTCTAAAGCCACTTTCTCTTTTTTGATAACTAATAAAACTCTGGTTTAGATCATAATACAATTCCTTTGACATTTGTACTTGCATCAAATCCCCATTTCCTGCAGCTTCTGCCTAAGATATTCAGCAGAAAACAAATGATGCTATTAGCATTCTGCATAGGGAAAAAGGCTGCTGATTACTCTTGAGAGCGGCTGGCAGTGTGTGTGTGCTTCTCCCCAGCCCCCCACTTAACTCTCGCTGCCTGCAGTTGTCTAAGGTATCCACTCTGATGCACGGAAGGAATGTGTCTTGTGCGTACTGAATGGGCAATGATACCGAAAATATGAACTCCTTACCCTGTGATCTGTCACCTCGATGATCTCATTTTTCTAAGGAGTTTAGAAAGCAGTAAGACCTGAGGCTCAGAACTGCAGGACAGAACGCAGAGCAGAGTGTAGCATTCGGACTTAAATATTTTAAGCTCACAATCAGTTGCACACTATTGTCAAAGTTAAGCAGTGTTACATCAGAAATGCAGAATTATTATAAAACCTCATCCCTGTCTTTGTCACTCTGTGCTCTAAAATATGATTTCCTCTCAATATGATGAATTAACTGACATTACTGTCTCACTATTCACACTGGATTTGATTAAAGCCTGAATAAGATCTTTAGAATGAGTGAGTTCTGAAGACTTCATGTATTTAAATGCTACAGTAAGAGCACTGGGTGGTAGAGTCTTATTAAAAAAAATTCCAATTTGTAGCAAATTATTCTTTGTATAGATGTACTTGAGAATTACATTTATACATGGAAAGGACACATTTTAAGAAATAAAAAGAAAACAGAGTTAAGGATTAACTTTCAGATTTACTGCTCATATCTCAATTCATCGCTTCCCAATTTCTCATTATTGAGTTCTGAGAAGAAAAACAAAACTTCAAAGGAGACTGTACATGTCTCTGTCTATTTTCTAATGTACAGATACAACAAAAAAGCCCTCTAGGAAAACTCTTTAAATGTGTGATAAAAGCTTTCTATATTTAAAACTTGAAAACAATTGAAGCTATTTCTTTTAGAAAGGAATACTCGTGTTCAAGAAAGTTTCCTCTCAGACAGATATGGAATAAAATCCATTCACTCATGGCTCAGTTATCCAAATACACTCTTTCTGATTAGGAAGCACAGAATGAAAGGTGACTTACTGTGGTTTTTATATTTAGTAAAAATCTGCAGATCACCTTCTTCCTTGCTGAGGCACGTGGTATTCTAAACTCTACACTGATGGCAGCGAGATAATGGAGTTTTACTATGGTATTTTTTCTTAATACTAAAATACTTTTAAAATGACAGAGCAGATTTAACTGTGTGAATGGTGTAGTCTTGAGCTGTCTGTCTACTTCAGCTGAAGAGCAGGTCTTCATGCATTTAAAGTAAAAAATGTCAAACACTTTTGTAAGTCAGAAACTACATAGAAAGATTTTGCTTCAGAAAGGCATCTTAAACGATGAAGTCCCTTTCTCACTGTGCTAGTTTTGCTGGACCTGGTATTTCCAAACAAGTTGTAACTGGCTAGGGATGTGCCAGGAGAGCCTTGGCTGTAGCAGTTATGAGATGGTGAAGTTCAGGACCCTCGGCAGAAGGAAAAAAAGCAGAAAGCATGACTGCAACCCCAGACTTCAGCAGAAGAACCTTTGACCTGCTCATGGACCCACTTGGAAGAATTCGACAGGATACTGCCCTGGTGAGAAGATGGATTCAGGAGATTTGTTTCAAGGATCATCTCCTCCAGGATCAAGAATGGTCCATCCCAATAAGCAAGATATCTACCACAGGTGGCATGAGGCCCAGAGAGGTTGTGAAGTCTTCATCCTTAGATGTATTCAAAACCTAAATGGATACAGCCCTGAAAAACTTACTGTAGTAGGCTCTGGTTTGAGTAGGGGTATGGATTAGAGGATTTCTAAGGGGCCTTCTGACCTCAGGAGTGCTTCCACCCTCAGTTTTATCTAAAAGAAGAAGGATGTCCTGTTCAGGTCTGAAACGAGACCCAGTATTGCTTTCCCTTGGCTTCAGAGTTTATTGTATTCCCACTGGAAATGGTTCTGCTGTTGTATGCCATCTGCTGTACCATAACAAACCCTCCTCTACTTGTATACTGATTTTATTTCTCAGGCAAATATAATTCTTAAGGCCTGTATCTGCTGGCCTTCATTCTGAAACTGATCTTCAACATTTGTTCTGGTTTTCTCTCAGTGCTTAAATTCTGGTAACAGTAGCCAAAAAATAGTGGAGTGCTAGTCACATTTAGTGTCAAATCTTACATAATCTTTTAGGCACAAATAATGTCTTACATAATTTTTAAGGCAGAAATTTATTTCATGCTTTTTCATACATGCTTAATAGTTTTTTTTTACTCTTTTCAACTACTACCATGCACTGGATACCAGCTGGAGATTTTTCTCTAGTACAGGAGGACTGTTGTAGAACAGATGTGAATTTTTAATTGTAACTGATTTCACTGGTGTCAGCTGAGGGCAGGGGTAAAAAATACCTCACCAAACTTCCAGCCTCTGAAAGGTAAATCATCTGAAGTCTGAAATAAAGATTGTTGTCCTCTCCTAGTTTGTGGAAAGAAATAGGTGAGTCCCACCGTCAATCTTTGACAGCCATTTTAGGGTATAAAGTATTCTTAGATTCTTTTCCTCTTTTACTAAATAAAAGGTGCCTAAAGTACTAATTTTGATTTATATAAATAATTCTGAGATACTGAAAAATAAATCAAGATGAATCTACTCATCATGTACAAAATTATTACCAACCCTGATCTAATTTTTAATTTGGCCATTTTGACCTTGGGCTCAAAGGCCTGAGATTAGGCTAAATAACCTTCAGATTTGCTTTCCAACATAACCTTTTCTATGGTGCTATATTTATATATATGTGTAAAAATACATTTTTATTCCCATTCCACTCCCACAAATGTAGCAGATGAGATGAAGCATTGCCGTGACTGTTTCTTGGGAATGTCACTCTAGGCACACAGTATCCAAACAAGGAGGGTCTTGTAAATAGGCCTCAATCTGAGTGTTCAAATCTGTCATTGGCATTTAACATTCAGTGTTGACAATGGGTGTATTGGAGGTATTCAGTTGGCCCCAGAACTCCCTTTGTGTCTGTAGCTCGGTCATGAGTCATGCACTGCATGTGTGGGGAACCCTGACTTTCAGTATGTGTGTTTGATTAGAAATCCTTCCACCCCTAAAACTAGCAAGTAGAGTTGCATCTTTTAGAACATCAAAGCCTCTTGGAGGCTCATGCCTTCTGCATCTTTTTAGGGCTGGTATCACTGATGTAGAGATTAAGGAAAAAGTGTACCCTTTAAGAACCTAAATAGCCCAAAGCCGCCATCATCACAAATTCAGGACCACCTGATGCACAAATATTACATTGTTGCTTGTTTCAATAAAACTCATCTTCTTCAGCAATGGCATACCAAAATGTGGCTGAATCAGTCACTAAGGCAAGGATGTTCAATTACAATAAACATCACAACACCAAATTTCTCAATTGGGCTTCCATCTCTTGCATCAGAAATCAGTTTGGCAAATCAGTATATAGTGCATAGTAGAGACAGTGATCCCTAACTCCCTCCCTCCCTCCATTCTCTGGGGGCTTGTAAAGGAGAGAAACACAAATATGAATCCTGTCAAAGAAGAGAGTAAGCTGAAGAGAACAGAAAAATGTGAAGGTGCAGAAAATCTAGATTCAGTTAGCAGTAAAAAAAGTGGCATTTTCTGAAACGTGCAGTACTAAAAAGAAAGTACACTGCTCTAACTCCACTGACTTCAAGGAGGGCTTGACCTCTTGGATTTGGAGTTGAATTTGAAACAGGTCGTGGGCTATTTGGCTCAGTGTTTCAATGATAATTATTTACAGACAGAGTACAAGAGAGCTCAAACATCGAGGAACCTTTAATATAGGAATTTATTACTGATCCCCTTCTGTTTTGGATCCAACTTGACTACTGCATTTCTGCAACAGAGATAAAAACATCCCTTCCAAGAAGCTGTCCTAAGCAGAGACTGTTTCTCTTCGTGGGATTGAATTCAACTTTAATATCTGTATCTACAAATGTAGGTCATGTCTAAATCTGTCTAGTGTCCCTTTCCTTTGGCTTCTTTCTAATATTGTTTCTTAGGTAACAACAAAAAAAAAAATAATACAGCTCTGACTGAGAAAAGCTCCTAATGGGCTATTTAATTCAAATGTCTCTCTGACTCTTCTGACGAACTGAAACATCACTTTCAGATGTTAGTGTGAGTCTTTTTGTTTCCTTCTAAATCTACCCTTAACAGACTTTGTTCCTGAAGATGTAGAACAAAATTGTTCTGCAAACTCACTTTATTTTTAAGAGCTTTCTGGTTCAGTTCTCCAATCCCCCAAATCCCATCTATTGAAAACAAATTAGAATTCATGAGAGTAAGAGGACATTTCTGTCTATGCCACAGAGAAAATGAACACAGGTGATACAGAAAATAAGTTCTGTTTTGTTTAACCAACTGCAGATCCTTTCGGGAAGACAGATGAAAGAGAACCTCTCACCAATGCAGTCAGAAGTGATTCAGCTGTGATTGGAGGTAACTTTGTTTTTAAAGATTACAGCAGAAAAATAATTCAAAGCAAACATCTAGGAGACTTTGAATCTGGGCTCCATGAAACCTAGCTGAATTTTTTTTGTAATATAATGCAGGTCTAATATTTGCTCTGTTTGTTAGCACGTACCTGTATCAAGCTCCCTAGGTAAGCAACTGCATTATGGATTACTGTGGACATACATGGATCATCAAGAACCTGAGTCTTCTAAAATATAAACCCACTCAGTCTGTCTGCCTGCTTAAGCAGGGGATTTGGACAAGATGACCTCCAGAGGCCCCAGCCATTCTCGGATTCCATGTGATTCTGTGTTCTGAGACCCAGCTAACTAGTAACTGTTTTAGACACAGCCCTGCTGAGACCCTCTACACAGTATTCATATATCCCATACTTCTTGAGCTCTCTCTTTGCAATCTGGTGGTGTAGGGGAACTCACCAGGTCATATGGAAGTATATATATGCTAAATCATATGAAAGTATTTATATACTAGGGAAAATTGTCCTCCTAATTTCATGTATGGCTTGAATTTTCCTTTAACAGCCTAGAAGACAATTTATCTCTCTTTATTTTAGAGGGTGCCCTGTAACAAGCTGCCTTTGATAATATCTAAAAGCTATAAATTAAAGTGTACAATGTTCATGCAAGGTTTCCAGAGATAACAGAAGAAAATATGACAGAGCGAGAATTTGTATGAACATACAGATCTAGCTTTTCAAAAGCAAACACAGTGAACCAACTTTACTCCCAGTGAAAGCAAAATTTGATGGAAATTAGGTCAATTACATCAATACTTGCTGCTTTAAGTGTTCTTAAGATGAAAAAATAGAAATAAAAACTGCCATGGAGGGTGTGATAGAGGCATACGGTTGTGTACAGACTGAGATGAACTGATCTATCATATCTACTAGCTGCTATGCATTGGTAATGCATTTTTGAGGTAATTGGACTTTCTATTTTGGTTTTTACTCTTTCTATCCTTTCTTTTTTGCCTCTTTATAGGTGTAATAGCAGTTGTGATATTCATCATCTTTTGCATCATTGCCATCATGAGCAGATTCCTCTATCAGCACAAACAAGCACATCGAAGTAGCCAGAAAAAGGAGAAGGAGTACCCAGAAAACCTCGAGAGCAACTTTAAAGCTGACATTGACTTGCAGAACACAGTGAGCGAGTGCAAACGGGAATATTTTATCTGATGGACAATGCAATTTATTCTTGCTCTTACTTCCCTAACCTTCCTTTATTTATTCCTTTATTCCTTTCTTCCTTCCTTATTTTTTTTTTGGAAAATTTTTTTAAACGTTCATTTTTTGCTATTCCATTTGGAAAAGACCGCCCTGCACAGGAAACACTGAGAACAATCACAGTGCCTCATTCTTTGCACAAGAACCTGGCAATCACAGTTTACTTCTTCAGCTCAAGAGACCTGTTATCCCACCCTACACAAAATAAGATCCACATGCACACCTTGTGTCTGCTGTCAGTTCTTGGATGTTTCAAAGTCCCTACATTTATTTGTGTTTTTTCCTCTGGAGCTATTTTAGTTATCACTTTTACAGTAGAGCTGGACTATGTAAAGTACAGGTAAAGTAGTTGAATACATAGCTCTAGAGGTACTGGGACAGGATAGAGGGAAAGAATGAGACCAAAACACTTGATTTATTTCATAGGCTCATTTACAGCAATCATAAAAATCTGGCCAAATTCTCAAATGTTATTAATTGTTATATTGTCTATTGATTTAAATGGTGTTACATTAATTCATACCAGCTGAGAAGCTGGTATGATGTAAAGGAGAATAAAACTGTCCTCATTAAGCTCCTTCCCCCAACCTCCTGTCCTTTTACTGTAACTTTTAGGCTTCTCAGTACTTTTCCAACAATATATATATCAATAATAAATGTCATTCCCAATCACCTCTTCCACCTCCATCTTGTAAGGCTGGCTATGTAGACCCAACATACTCTAGCATAACTAGCTGAAGCATGGAAAATAGTAGCTTGAATCTCCAAGGGTTTTAGGAAGCTGCTAGGACTTAGGTGCTCTATATTTGTCTGAAATTTTAGAAATGCAGCATATGCCTGTTCATGCTATATGGAGGATTATCATGCACTTAGGTTAAACACTGTTGCTGCTGTGGAAAAAAAGAAATACATAGATGAGAGAAAAACAAAAATAGTTTACTCTTAAACATGATGCACACCTTCTGCAAGTTCTTTTAAAAAAAAAAGAAAAAAATAAATCCAAATAATCAAAAAAACCCTCCCAAAACTGCATGTAAGATTGACTGGTATTTCTTGTTTGTAGAAGTTGGAATACCTTCTCCAAAGCTAAATAGATCCGATATCGAACAACCCTGTTTACAAGTAACAACATTAGGGAAACAAAAAAGAATATTCTTACTTCAAATTAATCTTCTCTCCTTTTTTCTAAAGTCTTCTGTTCTTTCCTGATTGGGAACAATACTGAAGACTTGAATTCCACCCACATTACTTGTGCTGCATGGTTACAATGTGAGGCTTGAAAACCATTTTTTCAGTCACAGACATCCTAAGGGTCAGAAATGGAGGAGTCCCAGCAAGGCAGGTTTGCACACTGTATTGTTTCCATGTGACATCTGTCTTCTCAGGGCTTCTAAAGAGCATGTAGAGTTTGCTGCAGGACTTGAAGGTTCCTAACAGTAGTTGAATGAAGCCTACAGTTAAGGGGAAAAAAAAACACCTTATTCATTGCAGTACTCTTGATAAGAATTAATTCAAGACAATTAATTGTACAGCTGAATCTCTTTCTTTGCCCTACACCCTTGTCACCCTTGTGCAGTCATCCTGGGGTTTCCACATGAGGGTCCTTTTTACATAAAATTAAAGAATCACAGTATGAGGTAATAAGCCACAGCAAGCTAGAGACGAGCTTACCCATGCAACAGATACTATTTTTCTAGGCAGTGCATTTCAAAGGTAAGTAGCTGTTTATTTGGGGGATTTTTATGAGGAGAGAGAGAAGGCAAGGAAGAATAAATAAATGACAGTTTGGATATGGTGGTTCTTCATCACTTCTTTGGAGCATCCAGTGAAGAGAAAGCAATCTTAGAATTATATCATTCTCATGCAAAGAGGAATATGTGAGACCACCTCTTAACTGAGCAATTTTATGAAGCCATTTATATTGAAATTACTATTAGTGCTGTTCTTCCTCAATCATAGTCAACAATAGCCCTTTTGCCACATGCTGGCTGATTCATGTGATTACCGAGAGTGTTTCTGTGTAATGAGGTGTAATAATGGATTCGTGACCCTGAGATTATCTCAGCTGGTTAGACCGTGGTGCTAATAATGCCAAGGTTGTGGGTTTGTATCCCTGTATGGGCCATTCACTTGAGAATAGGACTGGTGATCCTTGTGGGTTCCAACTCAGAATAATCTGTGATCTGTGATTATCTGAGCTCCTTTATGTTGCTTTATTTTTGCAGTAAAATCCTGGCAAAGAAATTATTTTTATTTCTTCCTTTCCCCAGATAAAGCTGCTTTGTTTGGCATGGCAGGAGGGGAGGAATAAGAGAGTTCATGGGCTCCTGTTTGAGTCCATGTTTGAGTCATCTTCTCTGAAATGGCCTGTGTATGAGACATCTCTGAACTCCTAGCATGCTTAATTGACTTCATGAAGAATGGAATAGGAAGAAGGGGAATGTCCCCAGTTGTGTATTTTTCTCTAGATGACCTAGCAGATACAAAACATCCTTCTGTTTTCCTACATGTAGTTTCCAGGAACAAAACTACTACAGAGTGCAACATTAAAGCGAAAAGCAGCTCCAGCAGCAGAGTAGCTGGAGAAGGGAGACTGAGCAATGAAGCAGAGTCCTCTCATTTCTAAAGTAACTAAATTGCTTTCAGTCATCATAGGACCTGATTCTGCAAGATGCTAAACTTTCTCAAGGAGGATCAAGGTCTCATTACTAAAGTTAGTATTAGTGTTGCTGCAAACATTTCAGATACAGCTCAGTGGCTCAGTCCCAGGCCAGAGGGCAGGTATAGTGGCAATGCTCTGTGCCAGCCCACATCTGGCAAAACACTGTCAAGTGGTTAATTTGTCCATTTTTCCTTATCCTCCTTTAATATAGCCCAGGCTGGTAAAACTCTTTGAAAACTTACCTTTGGTGTGCATCTGTAAAAAGAAAGAACTGCACATATATAAATGCTTGCATGAGTATACAGAGACATGTGCATCTATACCAATGGATGTGCTGAGATGGGAATATTCTTATGCTACAGGACTGAACCAATGAGCACATTAGTTTGGACTTCTAAATCAGGATGCCAAAATTCTTCTTATTAAATGGTAGCTAAAAGATACTATATGAAGTACCCTAATACTAGCTCCTTTTTTGGTTTTTTTATTGTTTTGTTCTAATGCTTTCTTTACTGAGGGTATAATTGGATTTCCTTCAGTACCAGTTAAAGGAAATTAATAATATTTTTTTATAAAAAAGAAGAAATACAATTTCTTTCATTTTCCACAGTTCAAATTAGACCTTTTCACCATTTATTAAAAACCATTTCTGTTATTTTGGTTAAAATTTCTCTTTAGATGGGGTAGTTTTTCTTTTAGCTATTATTCTAGATAACATTTTTAAGTAAACATAAAATAATAATTTTTATACATAAAATGTCGTGTTTCATTTCAGTGGAAAAGAACTGTTGGAGCATTGTTTGGGTTTTCTTCCTTATCCTAAAATGAGTTTCATAATAAAAGTAAGGGACTGGTAGAAGCATACTAAGTCTCTTTTTTTTTCTTTTGGTGATATGATATGTAACCTCTGAAAATTATTACTGCTAGGCAGGGATTTTTAGACTGTGAAATTACTAAGTATCTTAGATATGGATTTAGGCTCTGCAAATTCTTGTTTTCCGGAAAAGACTTGCCCAATAACTGCCATGCTTATAAAGATATTTAGTCATGCAGTCTGAGTTGGATGCCTGGAAGGACTGTCTGAGAATCCCAGTGCCTGGCTATAGAAAACAAAGGAAAGCTGTCTGTTGGAAAGCTAAATCCAACTAACTTTCAGTGTGACATAGGCTGCCACCTGAGTGAAAGGTGGGCTTTCAAAGGAATTTGATGTGAGGTGGATGTGGGTGGATCAATGCTTGAGTAAGTTACTGTAGAAGATGAGCATTTAACTCAAATTAATTCCAGCTGAATTTCTACTTCTGCCTTCCTGTGAAATGTTTTAATATACAAGAGATTTAAATACCTTTGAAAATTGAATCCCATTTCTCTTCTGGAAATAAAATGTTGGTCCTCAGTAAGTCACCTATGTAATTGGCAGTTAGTATTTCATCTGTCCTTATTTACTTACTAGAGACAAGACAGTGTGTTTTGGGTAAATTTTTTACATGTACACTTTTTTATTTTTTCTTGGTTTTGCCATGGCTCAGCACAAAGCCAAACAAAAGACACAGCTTTAACTTACATTGGCTAAACCAGAATTCTTATCTGGGTAAATATAACTGTAAAAACCAGACATATGGAGTTGTACTGTTGTCAAATTGTGTTCAGTCATGAGATGCCCCTGATACTTAAGTTAAAACTGATAGCCAAATTACAACCATAGGACATTTTCTCTCTACTTTATTTTAACCTAATATAGTTAGACTTAATTCATCCTATTTATCAATTGCCCAATTTTTACAGTGTGAGACAAATCCTTATTTTAATGAGATCTTTGAGCATATTAGGATTTAGCTGATCACATGTTTCACATATTGGGTGAGGAGCAATCAATACATCATATTGTTTCCCTATGGTGAGGGGTTATGAATCTTCTCCTAATGAAGTCAGCTATTGATTTTGCTTAACATAAGATTGAGTCCTGGATCTATGAAAGCACTTGGATATTGCTTTTGTCTGAGTCTTTTGGGTTTGTTTCATTTTGGATTTGGTTTTACCTGCCACTTGTTTTACACTTGTCATCCAGTCCAGTCCAGCCCTGTGGTCAACAAAGACAGGGCAAATGTCTCAAACATCCTTTAAGATTAAATGAATCACCAGAGATGCATCTTTCTCTCCATTGATTATAGAGACAGGGTAGTCTCCTGGCAATAGGTTAGCTACTTCTAGCAGAATTTGCTTACATGTTGGAATTTTACACTAGCTTTGCAGATCCAGTAGACACATCTGCACAGATCTTATAAGTGACTTGGATTTTTTTTTACTGAGATGACAGCTGGGTCAAGGAAGGACACCTCTTTGCATCTAAAATTACACTAGACATCTCTGCCTAGTAAATGCATGTGTCTAATTGTAGCCAAATACAAGAAAATCAAGTGTCAAAATACCTATTTGAGCCTGTGATGATCCAATCGGTAGTATATGGGGCTTGGAAGAGGTTTATTCTCCTTGCAGTGTATTCTAAATCCAAGATCCATTTTTTGCCTCATGTGGGAGCTTTGACAGATAGAATACATG